TTTTATCTAACAGAAGTATGGGCATCTCGTTCTGTAAAAGTCTTCCTGCTCTTTCCAAAATGCCGCTGTTCTTGGGCAAACCATTGACCTTAGTCTCTTCATCAGTGATTCCCTTGGGCATCGCTCAACGCTGACCAGCATGCAGCAGCTCCACATTCAAGTCCTGGGTTTACTATAAATACCCTGCACGACCTTGGTCAAGTCAGTAGTATTCTGTAACTTGTTTTTTCCATCTGTAAAATGGCAGTAGTGAGGAATCCAGTAGTGTGTTGCCAGCTCTTACATTATGCATGCAAAGTGCTCACTCAGTCTCCTTGTGGCTCCTTGCCTCTAAAATACGAACAATAATGCAACTCTTGTCTACTTATTCTGATTATAACATCTTTATGAATATATTGCTTAGAGTATTTTGGTGCTCTGTCACAAGGGTGCAAGTAAAAGATTTTTCTCTTTTCTTTAAAGGATGACATCCTGTAAACAATGGGCAATGGCAAACAACCAGAAGACAGAAATACCATAAATTCACACAGCTATTTCTGAAAACTAACATCTAGCCACAGCTGTTCATCCAGCCCCAAAATTTGTACTCAGCAAAACACCATCTTCCAGGATAGGTAGGCATCCCATCTGGATCTGAAATCTTTGGGTATAAATGTATATTACATATATATAAAAATAACAAAGCAATCAGAGACATATTTTGACATTTCACACATTAATTTAAACACAGAGTAGCTTCACATGACRCCTGGATTAGGATAAGCAAATCTGTAAAGCCTACACTGAGCAATCTTTTATTATCTTTGCTAGAACAGTGACCTGACACCATTGTTTGATATGACACAAAAGATTTACTATAGCCATCAGCTGAGGAAAGGAGTTTTGCACATTATTAAATGATGAAGCTTTTCCATTGTACAAAAAACATTGGCATTATTGGACTGTCACAAGACTGAGACCGGAGCTCATAACCTGTAACTCACACCTGCCTTTGAACAAGGTTGCCTGTCTACTTCTGCATACGAAGCAGCTCAGTGCTGGCCGTAAACAGCAATTTTTGAAGGTAAATGTTGGCTGAAAAATTCCTCCTGCACTTCCAAGCAGACAGAGCTGCCTGCCCAGCTTTAATTCTTGAACTCACCTGGGCTTGACTGTGGTTCAGCAGCAGAGGATGGAACACTAATGCATTTGCAGGATCCAYTTTACTGTTTCTTGAGGTGCAAAAGAGTTTCTGCACTCAAGGGTAGAGTAAGACACTTAGAGACATGAGTTTATTTCTTTTTTTATAATTTACATGTCCATTATGTGGGGTTTGTGCATGGTTATCATTCTATTTCAGATGCTCTTCTCCTATTCATTAGATTATATAATTTGCTGTTAAGATTCCAGTAAAGTTAGATCCATATGAAAAGACAGCTTGTTTAGTTGCAGGTTTCCAGGAACACTGCATAATATGAACACAGTTGGAACCTCTTGAAAAAAAAAAAAAAAAAAAAAAAAACAGCTCTCCTCTGTTTATATAATTTCCAGTGGGTGCATTTAGATCATAGCTCAGCAAAATAAAGAAATTATGGCCAACTCTGTCTAATACTCTTTCAAGAAAGTTAAAATGCCCAGAACTAGTAAGATGCCAATGGACTGAACTTAGTCCTAGTCTCATCCCTCTGCCTTGTAGCACCATCTACAGAGAGTGTGGCAGCATCACATCCATTGCCAAAATCAGGGAAATATTGTAGTGACCAAAAAATATCTTCCTTCAGTAGTTAAAACACCCAAGAAACTGCTAGTCTGACTGCTCTGAAAGCTGAAAATCCTCTACTACTCAATAACAGCAAGAACTGGGTCTGTTTTGCCAAAAGCTCCTCAATTCACATGCAGATGGTGCCGCTTTGCCAATGACCAAATCGATCTGGTGCCTTTTGCCAGCTTCTTCTCTAACTTTCCTGCAGAAGAACCGCTCCGGCTGCCAAGAGCCCCAGCTGCAAAAGGATGGTGGGATTTGCCATGGCAAAACGCTTTTAATGGTCCATTAAGCTCTGAATCATACCTTCGGCACAAGCCAACTTTGCAGGCTTCAAAAGATTGCAGTATTTCCCCTCCTGCCTCTATCTGCCCAATTACCCAAGGCAGCAATGACATGGGGATTGACCTTCGTCTGATCACCGAGGCGTGAGGCCTGTTTGCCCTCGATTTAGCCCCAACAGCAAAATGGTGATGAGGCGGAGTCATCCACTAGGACGAGACTCAAGAGCACCATTTAAAAGCTCATTTTTGAAATGTGGCTCTAATAATAGAAAGAAAGAAAGAAAGAAAGAAAGAAAGAAAGAAAGAAAGAAAGAAAGAAAGAAAGAAAGAAAGAAAGAAAGAAAGAAAGAAAGAAAGAAAGANGAAAGAAAGAAAGAAAGAAAGAAAGAAAGAAAGAAAGAAAGAAAGAAAGAAAGAAAGAAAGAAAGAAAGAAAGAAAGAAAGAAAGAAAGAAAGAAGAGAAAAAGGCCTAGTTAATTGCCTCAAAATAGAATGTTCCTCTGAAATACAGAGTTTTTTTGTCTTTCTTCGCAAGCTCGAGCCAAATGCCACTGTAGTAACTGGAAAGTTCCCACCATTTTGGACAAGGCGCTGGCTGTGGGAGGCAGTGGGTGTAGGAATGTGCAGGCGTGTACAGTATTGCTGTTATATTGCTCATGAAGGACAGCAGCAAGGAACACAGGGCAAGGGGAGACATAGCAGTCCAAACAGCAGCAAAACATATGGCAGTGAGCACCAGCACCAAGGAGTAACAGAGCTCAACAGTTTTGCAGTTCGTGTTTAGAAAGATATTTAGGGATATGTACAAAAAATATGATCCCTTTAATGAACCAATGGATGGCTCTCTTAAAAAGCATTTGTTCAGCCTTGCTATGCCTACATGAAAGATATACCAGAACCTCATTCCTTTGACGGTTGAACATTTTCTTCAGATTTCTAGTCTGCGCTTATTTATTAGCAGACAGATTAGATGTACTAGCTTTTCTCTGCTCAGAAAAGCAGCTTCTCGACAAAGTCACCAGATTAGTCTAGCACTACCATGTAATACGCATGGTGTATTTTGGCCCATTTCTATCTGCCAGCAGGTCTTGCATTATTCTTTCCTACTAACTTTGTCCAAAAGTCTTGTGCGGTACTGGGATCAGTGTTACTTCAGTCACTTTTCCTCTTTTYATATTTCAGAACATTTTTTTCTGCTCTATAATTGCGTTGTGTTGTTCCTGCACTGATGCTGTTACTTAAACCTATACAGCCAACTACATATTTCATAGGCCTATCCCATTTTGGTTTGTTTCACTTGGATGACACAGTTTCTATGTATTTATTTCCTCTATTTCCACCATATACCATATTTTCTTTTATGTCCTGCCTCTCCCTTTCTCATCCCCTCCACTTCTCTTCTGCACCTCTTGGCAAACATGTCTGAAGAACATTTTGCTATTTGTTTTAGTTTCCTTTGCAAGGTCTAGCTCAGCATTGCTTCTGGCAAATTTCCCTTTATGCCAAAGATGTCRTTTTATTTGATTAATCTTTTTTTTTTCATTCCTCCTACTTTCTTTGCTTATTCCTAATATCCACTTTGAAGTGGTYATTCATGGAGTTAAGTCTGGACCTCTTCCTTACGGAGTTTTATCCCTCTGCATACGAGATCCAGATAATTTCAATACCCTTCACTTGAATTCTAAACCTGCCCAACCTTGAAGACCTCAAAGCTGTCAAAGACCAGAAAGGGTCAGACATAAACTGCCGTTTTTGGCTTTGGGCACATGAGGGAATCTTCTCCCTTGGTTCATGTTCACTGTCCCACCAAATACATGACTGCAACCAGCTTTCCCGGCACACAATCCAGGGCTGAAATAGCGCTCAGAGACCACTGCTCACATGGGAAATTCCGCTCGACTTAGAGCCACACAGGCCGTGCCAAGGGAAGGATGCAAGACCATTAGCTGCAACCTTCCCATAGAATAAAAAATTGTTACRGTAGATTAAAAATTAGCATGAAGAAATGAGGTTTATCCATATATTTTTAAAGCCTCTGTAAGGCAGCCAAAATGAAAACAGATTTCAGCAGACCACAAAAAAATGAAGTGCATGTGCTGGTTCTTGTAAGGCTGGGGCTTATTTCCTTGCTAAATTCCAAGTTTTGGGTCTGTCCCACTTAGGCAGAAGGGCTATTCCAGAAAACTCCCACAAGCTCTTGCACCAGCAAAGAGCTGGTCGTCTTTCTCACTGAATACGTTTGCCCAAACAGCTAGATAAAATGAAGCAACATTTCCAGAAAATGTGGTTGTGATCCTACTATCTGTGTGAACGCTATTTTTTATATATTTTTTTAAAGGAAGGAAATTGAGGCTCTGCTACAGGGCTATGTTTTGGACGTATGAGGGCAATCCATGGGTCCCACTCCCTATTGCGCCCAGSGCAATGGCTTTAAATGACACTGAAMAATCACCACATGCGGGGGCAGCATTTTCGGCATTTCATAAACCATTTCAGTGAGCACTTTTGCTTTTATTAAAAATCTCCTTGGAAACAGTTTACGTGTGTCCTTCCCCTTGGCTTTTTGGGGTGTTTCAAGGTTTTCGAGGGGTTAGTGTTGACCCAAGGGCTGTGCGGGTAACCCTGGAAAGCAGCTGGAGGCCAAAGTGAGCAGGTCCTGCAGGTGAAGAGCTGGATAACGTGACAGGAATGTGCGAATGGTGGGAATATGCGAATGGTGGGAATGTGCGCGCGGAAAGGCCACATCTTCCCCGGGCCGCCGCGCCGCCGGAACGCTGCCCATGCGCCTGGCGGGCGCGGGCGGATGGCGCGGCGCGCTGCACCAGGCGGAAGTGAGGCGCGGCGCCGCCACTTCCGGCGGGGCGATGGCTGGAGGCGGCGGGTGGCGGGGCCCGGCGCGGGGCTCTGTGGCGCCCTGAGCCCCGACCTGGTCCCGGCCCCGGCCCGGGCTCTGTCCCCCGGYCCGGCCCCCGTTCCCGCCCCGGGCTCTGCCCCGGCCGGCCGGCGGCCATGGCCACCCGGCGTCTAACGGACGCGTTCTTGTTGTTGCGGAACAACGCGGTGCAGAGCCGGCAGCTGCTGGCCGAGCAAGTGAGTAGTTACGGCTCCTCCAGCCCTCTGGGGCCACGTAGCATGGCTGCTGCGGTGAGTTCCTCCCTTCGTCCTACCGTACCGCCGCCCGGCGCCCGCGACCCGCCCCGGCCGAGCCCTGCGCCCCCTCCATCCAGCCCCGTCCCTGCCCCGCTCCCAACCCCCTCCCATTTCTCCGTCCCCCTGCCTGCAGACCCCCCTCAGCTCCTTTTTCTGCTCCTCTTGCCTGCTCCCCTCCCCTGCGTCTCTCCTTCATCCTCTCCTCTGTCTTGTCCACACTTGCTGTCCCCTCCCTGCCCCTCTTCCCTTCTCTCTCCCTGTCTACTTTCCCTCCCGGTTCTCCCAACTTTCCTTCTTCCCTGCCCTCCTTCCTGCCCCCTTTTCACCTGCTCCTGTCTCTCTCCCCCCTGCCCCATCCTGCTTCTTTCCCCTCTTTTCCATCCCTCTGCCCTCCCACCTTCAAACTCTCATCTTCTCATCTCCCTTCTTACCCCCTTCCCTCCTCATTCTGCCCTTGCTGTTCTTTCCCTACTACTTCCCATCAAATGAATAGAAGAGATCTGCCTCCACACTCCTGTCTGCTCGCTTCCCAGATAACACAGTTATTAATCCCACARCTTCCTCCTGCTGCTGGGTACCACGGTGTTTGTTGTCCGACACTGTTTCAGCTCTCTCCAAAACAAAAAAGTTGTTTGTGTGCAAAAAAAAACAAAAAAGAGGCAGACCTTTTCTCTTCACTGCGGGCTCTGTTAAATGCGGTAGAGTGGATTAATCCTGGCACTTGAATTTCTCCGTAGCTTGTTGTGGTTCCCATCTTCCTTATTCCTTTCGCCTGCACCAGAAATAATACTGGAAGTTGTCTGTGAAAGGGGGAGCCTGGTAGATTCTAACTTGGTTCTTCATTACAGAAATGTCAGAGGTTTTTGTTCTGGGGCAGTTGATTTGATGCATCTTTTTCTAAATTTTTAAGCTGGTGTAATTTTTGAGCTGCGGTGGAGAACTTAAGAATTGAAGGTTACTTTGAAACCACTTTTAAAATTATTCTCCCCAAAATGGGTGCAAGGAGGCTTTTGTAAAAGCAACAGTTTGAAGGGTGCTAAGGGTTGCATTTCAGTAGCGAGACTTTCCCCATGTTTTTTAGGCGGTATTCACGATGTTAATATGACTTGGAARGTTTGCAGCAGATAGAATGCAGACTGCACACTACCGAGCAGTGAAACTACACTCCCATTCCAGAAGGAGTACAATAACATTTAGTCCCTGCATAAAATATTGTTTACAGTATTTGTCAGCGTTTGTTGAAGCTGGYTCAAAGGAGAGCAAAGCGGACAGATTGGAAGTTGCTGCTCCCTTGTGCTGTGGGTGAAGTTGGTTAATGGCTGAACYCTGCCCATGGTGGACAGTTTTCAGCACCATAAGTGCTGTTTCCTACCTGCATATTTTCACAATAAACGTGAGGATGGCAGAGTGGGAGTGGTGACCTCTCATGTTTCTGAAGTGCCCATTACTGCAACACTTGCAGCAAATTTCTTTTATTTTCAGTAGCATTCAGTAGCATTCCCAGATCCAGGCTGCAGCATACTAGCAGGATAATATTACAAACTGTAGTCTTTAGTACTTTGGCTTCTGCTGGAGAACTCCTTTGTTATTACAACTGTGTGCCAAAAATTGCATTCTGCCCTAGAATGTGCGTCCTCATGCTGATTAACTACTCCTTAAACTCAGATAATTGAAGTAGCATTCATAATGACATCATTTTATTTCAACAGCTTGATAAAGGAGATCATTAAGTAAAGCCTGCTGCTTACTTAAACCACGAGTATTTTGTCCTCATCTTAGACGAGACACGTTTGCTTTGTTAGTCTCCCAAACCTCCTATTTCTTACATAGACCTTCTGCAGCACAAAGTGGCTCAAAGTGAACTTGCAGATGCACTTAGGCCACCAGCCTGTTGTGTTTTTGAGGTGCCTGCAAAATTAATGCCCCCTGAAACTAGACCATAACGTAGTTTATATGTAAGTGAGCGTAGAATATATTTGCCTTTGCTTTGGGGTTTTATTGTCTCTGTTTTATGCTGTGATAACTGTGATGCTTACTAAAAATGTTTTACCCAAATTTGTATGTGTATTCTGCAATCATAATCAAAGGCTTCTATCTCTGCATTAGAGGTTGAATACTGCAATCAAACTAGCCTTGCTGTTGCACTTCAGTCTATTCTAATACTGTATTGCACTTTTTTCACCTGAAATTTTAGTAATCAGAAATTTTATTGTGCAGTTACTTTAAGAACTTAAATTAATCTCTTAAGATTTCTTCTGTTTACCAAGCAACTGAAATACTAAAAAAAAAAAAAAAAAAGTAATGCTGTCTTAAATGCATCATGATTTTGTATTTTTTATTGACTAGTCTTGTTTAAAAAGCCAGGTTGTTTTGTTCTTGGTAAACTATCATTTGAAAACAAAATTCTGTTATTTTCTCAATTGATCATTCCCTGTCTCTGTCCTGTGTTTCTTTTTCCCTTTTATCYTTTGCTGTCTCTAACTGGATGGGGCTGATGGGATCCACAAATCACTTCAGGAGCTGGATGAGGTATTGTCTTTTTCACATTTATTCTGTTACGATGCATGAAACTTGCATCACTGAGTTAAAATATTCCTTTTTTATTCTGCTAATTTGTGAAATTTCATTATATAAATTGAGATGTCCCTTTTCACAGTAAAAGGACAAGGCTGCATAGGGAAGCCAATACAGAAATACACTGTCTCCATAAACTATATCATGCCCTTCTGCACCTGCTGTAGTGCTGCTGTAGATCACTGTGCCTTGGCCTTCAAAAATATTGAACCCTGCCTTTTCACACTTCAGTTATTCAAGTTATGTGACTACAATTAATCGTGATAAAGGGTTTCTTTCTGTATTATTACAGGTCTGCAAAGCAAGATGCAGTAATATGTCATCTCCTCTAAGGAGGACTAATGCTGTATGCTATTACTGAAATGATTTTGTATTAAGTTCCTGTAAATCCACGTCGGGTGTGCTGCTGCTGAGACGGCATGCCTTTTTGTTTTCCTTCCAGGAAGGTCCTCCTTCCTTCCTGATGTTGCCTTCCTGTGTTAGCACTGTTCCCAGAGGCCTTACTTAGGATCAGGACCTTGTGTGATGCATTGCACAGAGCTAGGGTAGGATTGAAGCCACTGACGCCTTGGTGATCCGTTCTGACCCATTATTCCTGAAGTCAGTGGAGCTTTGCTAAATACAGGAGGATGGTGCTGCCGAGCTATACACAATTTGAGAAAAATAGAGAAATTGGAGAAAAATAATAATCAATAAAGCAGGAAAGCCTACTGGGGATGAGAAAAGATGAAGATAAATATGCACTTTTGTAACTGCTAGTTGCATAAAGAAAATCACATTTGGTAGTTTTGATTAAAAAATGAAAGTATGCTTGATCAAAAAATGTAAATATGCTCATCCAGAATGCATTAAATACTTCTAGGTCCTCAGTTAAGTGCCTCAGCTTACTTGTGTATCATTTGTATCTTTCCATTTTAGCCTCTTTCTCTTCTTGGATGTTTTGTTTGGTTTTGTTATTAAACTAGAAGTGATTTGCAGTGGACACAAATGATGAGATTCCCTACAAAACAGGGCTTTTTTTGCTTCTTGGAACATTTTTTTTTTCAGATATAAATTAGAGCTGGTAAACAGCAAATAATGTTGTGAGCTTCAGAGGCTYGGGAGCTGTCAATTAGGAGTCTCTCAGAACTTTTACAGTGGCAAAATCTTATGCTTGAAGCTGTTTTTCCAATTGGGAAGCATGKAATGAAAGTGGGGAGGGAAAGGGACCTACTGCAGTTCTGCAGGTAAGACTTGTCCCCTGTTTCCCCTGGACCTGGGGAAAGCAGTGTGTAAGGCTGACCAGCACGTTGTCTTGTTTCACTTTCTCTGACAATATGTGGAAGATTCTGGAGATTTATTCTGCCTAATAACTGAAACAGCAAGCTCATATCATTGGGATAGAGAAGTGTGGATCACTCACTGATTCAGTAATTTATGCTTAGCACATTCCAATTTCCGTTAAATAAATGATATATCAAATTTAGTTGCRTGTCAGTTTGCAGGAATGTTTGCTATGAGCATATGAGCACCTGGCTAAAGATAGGACTGTTTGATAATATATATATATCATTTTGATTTTGTGAGGAAATGGCTACCATGATTATTTTGAGTTTTCCCCAAATTATTTTGTTAAACTTGCTTGTKAAAATAGCACAAGCCATGTTACACTGTAGATTAAGGATCCACTGATCATGAATCATTTCCTAAAACAAGATGCACCTTTTACTCCTGTGCAAGAATTGCTTGATTTCTCACTGCAATGCCATATGTATCCCTTAAAAAATTTAAGAACCTGCTTTAGGATTAGGTTCCATCTTTCAGATCCTGTAGGAAGTAGGAGTAGATCATTAGTATATGAGGGAACAACCAGGAAACGTGGAGCATGGTTTAAATGCTTCATGTGCAAATGCATTTTTGAGGTTATTTTTATGGAAAAGAAAGGAATATGTGCACTGTTTCCTAATGCTTCAGGATATGCATCTAATTTGAGTATTAATTTTTTGGTTTTAAGGGTGTTTTTCTCCTTTTCTCCTTCTCAGCTTGCTGATGATCGTATGGCACTGGTGTCAGGAATAAGTTTAGATCCTGAAGCAGCAATTGGTGTAACAAAGCGCTTACCTCCCAAATGGGTTGATGGAGCAGAAGAAGTAAGTTTGTGTTAAATGCAATACTGGGTGTGATTTCATGAAAGAATTCATTGGATTATAACTATGACAACATTACTTCTGAAGTTTTATAATAGAAGTATTGTTAAAAAAAAGATTAAAGCAAGCTTTTTTTTTCTCTCTGTGTTGTGATACTGCTGAGTCATCTGTTAAGGGTTTTTGGGCACACTTTATTTTATCATCTTGAAAGTTATATTGTAAATGAAACAAAGGGAAATTATATACGGTGCAAAATTCTAAAAGGCTGGATTTCCATGATCAGTGGGAGTCCGAAATTAGCATTTCATTTAAACTGTTAGAATAGGGCTCATCATAGCTGATCACTGAACGACTGGTGACTGCAGAAGATCCTAAAGTTCTCAGCACGCAAAGTTCTTAGCTTAGAAAGGAGGATATAGGATCCAAAAGTTCGAAGTTTAGAAGGGAAGATATTTAAAAAAAAAAAAAAAAAAACCCACTTCCACTTCCTTGTTTATTTGAGCCTTTTGAAAGATCCAACTGCATAGACCCCAAATCCTTACAGATTTATTTCTAGTGACTGGTATGAAAGCATGTCCTCATGTCCTTTATCACCGTTGAACCCAATCTATAGGATATTTAACAGAGATAGTGTGACTTGAATTTTCACTTATATTTTTGGAAGTTGACTAAACTTTCTTACTATAACATTAATCGTATAATAATGAAAATATTCCAACTTAATAATGCATAACTGAAAACAGCACAGTTTTGCCAAGATAAATTAGAGGAGAGTTTATGCCTGATTAAAAAAGTCACTAACTCGCGAAGCTTATGAAAATTTCCCTCACTAAGAGGTTGGCTTTTTATGTTTGTTTTTTAATGATCTTTAGTCTGGTCTTTTATGTTACAGATATTTCTTTTAATGGTTTTGCATTATTTGTCTATCATCTATCAAAGCTCAGAACCTTTTCCTCTGAAACATTAGTCACTTCCCTTTCTCCATTGTTGGGTTTTTGTATTTTAGATTCAATATGATATCGCCAGGGTTAAACAGAAGATGAAAGAATTAGCCAGTCTTCATGATAAACATCTAAACAGACCAACATTGGATGACAGCAGTGAAGAAGAACATGCAATAGAAATAACCACTCAAGAGATAACACAGGTGCAGATTGCTTTCAATTTTAAAGCTACAGTATTGTGTATCTATAATGCAYATCCTCATGGGAAGCAGTGGTTTCCTAGGAATATCCTCTGTAATCAGTATTTATGTGAGCCAGGCTCCTGGATTCTGTGCTTAGTAGTGCTGCTCAGTGAACTACTCAACAAGTCACTTGAACTCTCTCTTCCTATATTTACCTGCTTGCTTTTGTGCTSTGGAATGGGATTATAAAATTATGATAAATCATGCTTACAGGTATCTGACAGGAATACAGAAGGTTTTTTTCAGTATCTTCCAGGCTGAACAGTTTGAAGGAAATGTATTTGGTCAAAATTACTTGTGCTACCCTGTTAGGTTTTAATAGATTTTTCATCCATATTCAATGTTTTTATTCTGTGAACACTCTGAGTGCTCTTCTAAATGCTGGGCTGCTCAGCAGGGACTCTGCTTTAAAAATCTGTAAGTCAAAATCTTAGTCTTACATTTTGGACTTTAGTAATGTCGTATTTAAAATGTGTGTTGCTGAACTTCTAACTAACAGAAGTGTTTTCTCAGTTATTTCACAGGTGTCAGAGAGCAGTCCAAGTCTTGCAGAGCAGGTCACGCAGTTGTACAGAACAAGAACAACGTGTTCTCAGGAATGTAGTGTCTTCCTTAGCACAGTCCCTTCAGGACCTATCCACCAACTTTAGGCATGCACAGTCTGACTATCTAAAACGTAAGCATAAGAAATAGAGTAATGCATGGGCACTTTCTGTGAAGAACAGTAACTAAATGGTGCCTATTTCCTTGGCTAAGAAAAGTGAAACACTGAAAAGTTAAGTGATGTTCCTAACACCACCAAGAAGGGAGATTAGAATTCAGGAGTTTCTGGTTCAATAGCCCATGCTCAATCTGCTTAACTGTATGTCTCTCCTTCATATTGATAAAGCGTAAATGTCATGGTTAAATATATCAGTGAAATTGGACGTGTATTTCTACCTTACAAATTTGCTCATCACTTCTCAAATTGTCATCTGCAAAGCTGCTTCTTTTACACTGGTGAAACAGCCATTGACCTTCAGACATTATACCTGTTGTTGACTGGTAATCTGATTAAGCTTTAAAAGGTGACTTGAGATGGATTAAAAATTCTGTATGTATGAACAGTTTGAAAATGGAATATTTAAATCCAAAATTGAGTACAACCCTATTTTTAGCATAGTAAAGTAAGCTTAATTCAATCTTGTAAAAAGTTTGATATTTAAACTTAATCCTGGTGTAATATTTCTCCTTCCCATGCTGTAAATGGCACAAATAGAACTTAGTATACAATTCAGAAGGATGTTCCTGAAAGTATTTGTTAGAAAATAGGCCAGAGTCATTACTCAGACATAATATTGCTCTTTTAAACCTTGGGGTCTAACTTTTTAACTGCATAGAACATAATGACTTAATCTGTGCCTTAATCAAGGTCTTGCCCATCTGGCAAAATTGATTATGCTTTGTTAAAAAAACAAACCTGTATGACAGTTAACATTCAGRATCTGCTAGTTTTTTAATTTATTAGCAAGATTTTATTTCTTATTTCTTACTATCTTGTGCTTCAGATATTACTATCCGTTGTGTATTTTGTTCCTCTAAAAGCTCTTGGAAGATACTGTTCTACCTACACACGCTTTTGAAAGTTGATAGGAAATCTGAGTGACTTWTTCAGTGTGCCTGAACAATGTGCTGAAATGCAATTTGTCTTTTACAGGCATGAAGAACAGAGAAGAAAGATCCAAGCACTTTTTTGACACATCCGTTCCACTTATGGATGATGGTGAAGACAATACACTTTATGATAGGGTAAGTAAAGGTATTGGTACTTTAAATCAATGCAAGGGTGTTTTGTTTTTATTTTAGTGTACCTTTAATATGAAAATAACAAAAGAAGATGAAAATCTCATGTGTACTGAGCCCCAAACTACATGGAAGAAAACATTTTTGGATCTTTGTATGATACATTTACCTGATTAGGATTGTATTGCTTTTGAGATGTTAAAAGGACTCTGTACCATCACCTTCAGTGTTGTAGTGTGATGGGAACTCAGTCTAACTACTGAATTCTTCTTGCATGACTGACAAGCACTTTTCAGGAGGTCTGATAATACAGTGCTGTTCCTGGTCACATCATCTCCCTGGGCATACGCGAGAGTAATTGTTAAAAAGTTGCGATACTTGGAGTACTTGTAGACTTATAGTTTGGGGATACTGCATATCTAAGCAATACTGGAGTTTGTTTCATGTGTCCTATTTAACGGTACACCAGAATATTCTATAAGTTGAAAATTTATTTGAAAGGTAGCCTTTGTTTTCTCCATGATTTGCTCTAAGAGGGGTTTTGCTTGATGTCTAAATCGGAATGGTGGAAAAGAAAGGATTAGGGCTCTGTTGTAAATGGCTTTGGAAGATAAAAATAGTAAGGTCTCAGTAGTATTAAAAAAAAAACAAAAAACATGTTTTGTCTTTACACATTTTAATGGGTCACTGACATTGAGACTTTCTATAATGCTGATCAAGCAGTAGATAGCCTATAATTACAAGTTGCTTGCACACATTAGTTTTTTACATCAATAAAAATGCTATTTTAGGACAGACTTTATTTTAAAATTTCTTTGTATGTTTAAATAGGATGTAAAATTTGATTTTTTTCTACTATACCTATGAATAGTCTTCTGAATTATCTTAGCAACTCTGAAACTCTGGTTTTTAAAATATAGCAAGATTTTTATTAGATAATTGCCATGAAGGTTCCAAGAACACTGTTATGTTATGAAATCTTACAATAATTATTTCTAGTGTTAACATGCTGTTAATGATAATTTAACATTTAAATCTTTTATTTCAACAGGGTTTTACAGATGACCAGCTAGCACTGGTGGAGCAAAACACGTTAATGGTCGAAGAACGGGAACGAGAAATCCGTCAGATTGTACAGTCTATCTCTGATCTCAATGAAATATTTAGGGACCTGGGAGCAATGATAGTAGAACAGGTATATTGGCACCACAGTGTTAGTAAGAAATAGGAGATTCCATGTAGCAAGGCTACAAGGCTTCCAGATGCTTCCTGTTTTATTGTCCTGTTTCCATTTGTTTATCACTTTTCCAAACTTCATTTGTTCAGTCTGAGGGAACAGAAAGGGAAAAATGAGTAGTTGGTCATGAGGATTAGACTAGCATAGAATGCTGGAGCTTTGTTATTTCTCCCAAAGGTTGTGTTTAGGTGAACCTGTCAGCCAAGTGCATCTGAACTGAAAGTAAGGAATTATTAAAGGATGTGATGTGAGATGGTGACAGGGTTGCCAGTTAAGCACTGAATGAGGATGTCCCCTAGAAAATGTCCTAGCCTGTTCTTCTGTAAAAGTTCAGAGCTCACACAGTTCATTAGCTCTTTGTTGTAAACCTTGTTTATTACTCTGTTGATTATAGCAATAATTGGAAAGTGTTTAGATTCCAGTTGGTGTTCATTCTCTCATTTTGTCTAGGGAACAGTTCTAGATAGAATTGACTACAATGTTGAACAGTCATGTATCAAAACTGAAGAGGGCCTAAAACAGTTACATAAGGTAAGCTCACTGAATACTTAAGATGCTTTGCATACCTAATAATCTTTTATAATTTAATAGCCATTAAGTTCCTAAGGGCCTTTTTTCATCTAGACATCTTCCTTGTTAGATATGATTTCTGTACATTATAAAATGTCCAACTGTTTTCTAGTAGGATCTTTCCAGATAACTTGTTTTAACAACATACTTGATGCCTAGCATTAAGTTTCTGAATCACTTTTCAGGGCATCCAAGCAGTGTCCTCTGATCTTTATGCTGCAGACATGTTGAGACCTACCTCCAATTCCTTCTGTCTTTAGTGTTTGTTTTGAGAGCCAGGCACTCCTGAAATAGGACTGGTTATTGCATACCTCACTACAGATTTCAATCAGTTGGTTAATATAGCTGGGTTTGAAAGTATTATCTCATTGAGTAGCAAGGATAAGTTTTTTTTTCTCTTACAGTATGACATTTGTTAGAAGTTAGATCCAACCTTATGCTTTTAATGTGAAACTTTTACCACAAACATCTCACAGCTTTGAATTGGCAGCAGAACACAGATTTTTGTGGTTGTTTTGTTTTCTTGACTTCGTTGTTGTTGTTGTTTTCTTTTGATTTTAAGCAAAGTTCTGACTTGTCAGCTCAGTTTAGCACCTTTCGCAGCTGGAAATGAAATGGAATTAGAGATTTATGCAAAAACCTCTATGAGTAGAACATTCCGTCTGGGAAATGTGGGCATCTTATTAATGCACACTCAACTTCCTTATGTTATGGCAGACAATATTTTGTCAGCAAAAAGATGCCATTTGGGAAGATCAAAGTAAATTGCATTATAGGTTTATTTTTGTTGTGCATAGAGGTAAATTGGGACCATTAAAGTAAGGCATTAACCTCTGGAAAACAARTTTTAAAGTAACTGCAAGCATTTTGCACAAACTGAACTGGAAATGAATCAATTGTAGTGAAGACTGCTTATAGGCTAGTAGCAGTGAATGAATCATCAGCAACCCCCTTTAATACTTGCTGATAGATATGATATGGATTTTTGATGCAATATATAGTTTATATCGGACATTTTCACTACAGCATAGATTTTTTCTTGTCTACCATGTAAGATGTGCACACACATCTGAATGGTAATATAAAAAACAAATGCTGTGGTGTGGAAGTCCTGATAGCTTGTGAAAATTATGCTATTGCACACATTAAAGAAGAATAAAGTTAACTAGAAGGCACTTTCATAGAAATGGCATGCATTCACTTGAATTGCTAGTTACCAAGTCATCCTTCACTGAAAATTGGAATGAAAGTTACAACTTTGTAATACTTTAAACTTGATTAACTAGTCACAGTGGTTGCAGATGAGATAGTTGCAGGTCAGTAATCCTCATTAGTAGATCTGATAACAAGTAATTATTTTGCAGGGACTGTAAAAGAGCAGAATTAATTTCCTTTTCCCTTTAAATTTTCAAGTTTTATTAATTTAAAACGAATTAAATGCAAGTTTTGTTTTGTTTAGCTTCTATTAGCAGACTTTCATTTGGCTTCTGGAGAGTTTTCTCCATGTTGCCTCCTTTTAATTCCCCTGGGAAAAAGAGGAAAGGGATGAGAAAATGTGGTTAGAAGGAAGAAGGAATGAAGCAGAAAACTGAGAACCAAATCAAAATGAAAACTTTCAGTTCTAATTGAATTTAAATGAAAATGCACAGCTGAATCAGGTACAGCAAAAATCCCTATTAAAACATGAAGTTTTATTATAATTTTAATACCCTTGGAGTATAATAGAGCAATCTTGTACCAACAGAATGAGTTAAAGCATTTTACCAGATCTTCTTGTTCAGACCTTGATGTACCCAGTTGCCAGACTTTTGTTTCACAGTCTTCATACCAAAGTGTTCTTACAAATGAAGTATCACTTCTGTACAATCAGTATTATGTGCAGTGTCTTATGGAGGCATAGGATCTTCTCAAGGACTGCTGAAGAAAAGTCACAGCAAGGTTTTTTTTAACCAGTACAAAGGGCATTCTCCTGCAAAGAGCCCCTCGATATGGCTAAATGTGACTTCAGTGTGAAGTTGATAGTGAGACTGCAGTTATTTTGTGGGAGTTGCTTGCAATATACATTGTATGAAATACCAAGTTAGCCCCAAAAATACTAAGATGTACTTGATTATACTAAGCAAGTCTGCACTTCAGAGTTCTGCAGAAATCTAAGTATTAATTGTCTCTTCTGTTTTTATAGGCTGAGCAATATCAAAAGAAGAATCGGAAGATGCTTGTTATTTTAATTTTGTTYGTTTTAGTAGTTGTCCTTATTGTTGTTCTTATTGCTGTAAAGTCRCACTAGGTTTCACTTTTCTTAATTTTTTGGATTTTGTGAACTGTTTTTCCCAATGTGAATGGATGGACCTGCACTCYAGAAAGCTGCCTTTGAATGTATAAGCCCTCGCGGTACAAAGCTTGTGCAATGCTTCRGAAGAGCTCGTTTGGAAGGACTTTGGAAGTACAAGTTTGGTCATCTGTGAGGTGTTTGTAAAGGCTATAAGGAAAATACCAGGAATTTGGTGATCCTCTGAAATGGATTATCTGGCTCCTTATCCAGGGGTATTTGGAAACATAGAACATAAATGTCAATTTCATATTTCTTTTTGTTAATGTGTACAGTAAGTGTGTTTTTGTGACCAAAACTGTTTTTTCAGTCATCTTATGTCACTGTTATCATGGGCTTCAAATTTAAACCATGTTCCTGAGTCATGGGGCTCAATAACACAAACAGATCTGGATATAAGATGCATTAAAAGAAGCACAAAAATGTTTGACTTTTGGTTCAGACTCAACGCCACCAAAAACTGGATAGACTGCTAAAAAGGAAAGCTTTTAAAAATGAGAACCTAATCCAACCCTATGATCTTAATTTAGATATTGCACCATTACAAAGAATCAGAATAGTACTTAATCTTGTAAATAGCAAGATCTAATCATTGACATAATGTAGCATACTTAGTTAATTACAAAATTTTCTAAGCTTGAGTAATCATGGGAATGTTTTCCCTCTTCAGAAAGATGCCATGGTGGTTTTCATGTACAGTTTTTTTTAATATAGTTTACAAGCATTACATTGAAACAGTGATAAAGTTGAAGCCAGAAAATACAGGAATTACCTTTTAGCCTGCTATATCATCTGGCCTGCTATAGCAGATCTGGGATATTTCATTCTACTGTTGTTGCATAAGCTGTTTATTTTACAGTACCTCTGCCCTGCCTCTGCAAGTTGGTAAACTTGCATTAAAAAAAAACATGACTTCACTACAGTATATATTGCATTCATTCTTCTTGACAGAATATTACTTTTTCAAACCCCTACCTGGAGGAGAGCATGTTAATAGTCTTGTACTGACCAAGACAGCTGTTGAGCAACTGACAGGTATTAGGCCTAAGTACAGATTTTTTTTCTAATATTTCTTGCAGTTTAAAAATTTGACTGTGGGCTGTGAAATAAAATAAGGAAACATTTTAGTAATAGATTATTCATGATTTAATTCAGGCCTGAAGTGATGTGCAATTTTAGAAGGCCTTGTCTTAATATTTTTAGTACTTTTTTTTTTGTGGATTGTTTTTGCTTGAAGGACTGTAATTTTTATTTCCTTTTGTGACGGATACGGTAATCCCCATAAACTTGCAGGGTTAATCTGCARAAGGCCTCTGATGTATGTACAGTTTCGTAATATTAATGATTCTGATGTTGCATATGGGAAATAAGAGTCTTGTGCCTGCCCTGAGCTGCTGTTTTTACTGTGTGTATATAGTGAGGAGGACCTAAGGCAGCCCGGCTCTAAGCTCAGTGCAGGAACAGACCTGACAAGTCTACAGAGACATGAAAGCCTCAGCTTTTTGTGTGGCTTATTGTGAAAAGCTTTGTACTCCCCTTATTACCTCTGGACAAAGGGGGTTTTGAACTTCCAAAACTGCCAGTTCAAACCCTTGATTGAATTCACAGAGTAAATTGGTAAAAGAAGGAATGATGCTTTAGCTGGGTGTGCAGCTTCCATRTTTTGGTATAGATCTTTTCATTGATCATGAGTAAAACTACTGTCTCCCTGGTGTGCTGTCTACATCTTCTGGTGTGAAGCAGCAAATTGCTATAATTTAATATGCTGTATTTGCAACTTTCTAACATGAGATTGTGTTATTTATTTCTGTCTTGACTGGTGCTTTTGACATTTTATCATGCCTAATGAATTCAAAGAAGTAATAAAACACTTCCAACCTAATTGGTCAGTTGCTTATTTTTTTGAAATAGTATTAACTGGCACAAATACTTGCCGAAATGTTAATGTGTCTCTGTGTGAATCATTCCCTAAATGAAAGGAGCAATGACATAAATTATCTTTAAAAGCTTTTTTGTGTGTGTTCTGTAACATAATGTAATTTTGCATTGTCAAAAGTAGGACAGAGATTAAATTGTTTTCTATGTAGGTGGCATTAAAATGACAGTGAAGTCTTAACTCCAGTAAGGCAAGTGGTGACGTATTTTCTAGCCAAATACTGTAAAGGAAAGTGCAGTTCTTGATATCTACTGTGCAAGAGGTTGAACTTGGATGGGAGTTGTCCTGTGTAATTTGAAGTGGAAGTGATTGAAGCAGACTGTATCTGAGGGAGAAAAAAAAAGAATTCCTAGGTTTCCAAATTTCAGATGCCCAAAATTTGTTACAACTGCATGTAAATAGTTATTGGCAGCTAAACCATAAACACTMATGCAGTGCTTTGTAAAAGCATCTCTATCCACCTGGGGTGTTAAAATAATTTGAGATACCATCAGTGGCATTRGGCTGTGAAAGCCACCAAAAAGGCCACAACAAAGAAAAGACTTTGAGCAGTAGCTGGTTMCTGCTCTGGTGTTGGAGCCAGCCCTTCGCTAGACTGTCTGCTGGGAATCCAGGGCTTTCTTCACCACCTCTGATTTGCTGGATCTATTGGCTTGTACAAAATATTTCTATTAAAATGCACATAAGCATGAAAAAATAAGCTGCTACTTCTCATTGATGTGACCTTTTTTTAAATAAATACGGTAATATTTGAAAGCAACAATATTAGAAACCCTATTGTGGAGAATTCATTCCAGTTTTAGAAACTGAGGAGTAAAAGGCAAGATTATATTTTCTGTAAATTTTGATTGTGCTTCCTAATTTGCCTTCATTTAGGGTATGCTTTTATGAAACACTTCAATTGTCTTTACTTAAATCTTAAGTACAGCCTTTTTGGTACAGCCGTGTTAAGTTTTTTGCATGTGTAATAGACTTGTGAAACCAATTTTAATGAAGAAAATATTTACTCTCAAAAAAAAAGTTCCCAGATTTAATTACTTAAAACTCATAAGAAACAGGGAATTAGTTATGCTTTTCAAATATTAATTGTTCTGAATTATGTAAGCATCTTTCAGGGGAGGGTTGAATGGCTTAATTCCATAAATACTTGTAACTGATACAGCACTAAAAATTGTGGTAGTTCTAGAAGGTTGGTCCACTCTGCAGCTTTCACTGTGGCTCACGTTAGTAGAAATCTCTGCAACTACCAGAGGAAATAGGTAGAAAGTCCAGTGCCTTGATTAGGATCCTTTCATTAAAGTCAATGAAAGAAGGATGAAGGGCCAGAGGAGTATTTCCTATTGTTTTGTTTGCATTTTGGATAATACAGTACTGTCCTGATACTGACAATAATTCTGAAATGGCAAGATTTGAATTAAATGACAAGATTTCCATCTGATAGAGACTTTCTGTGTCTCAATCCTGAAATAACTACGGTCTCCTATTGTTTTTTCATATCTTTTACACTGTTTGCCCATGTATTTGAATGATGGCAAAACACAGATTGTGTTTTTTGGCTCAATAAGAGCCTGATAAACGTTGTTGTTGGAACTTGGTTATTGGGTTATTGTTTCCATTTTGTGATGATGCTTCATTTACCTCTGCAGCAGATTTTGAYTCATCTTTTTGTCCCGACCAATTTTAAATGCATCAGGCAGTAAAGTTTCCATAGCTTCCCTTCAGAAACTGAGTAGGACCTTACACTAAGGAAGCTTTTTCTGGAATACAGCCTAATTTCTTTTTCTTTGTAGTTGTATTTCCATTATTTGCACCAGCACTCACTTCTCCAGCATTAAGTAGAAATACACTCCTTTTTTGATGTTTAGACTTTCCACATAGCTGCAGATTAATGTGTATTTGTTCCCTACTGACCCAACATTAATAGGATATCCTTGGCAAATATGAAAAGATGAGGATAAATACCATGTTATATTTTAAATAAACATTTCAATTAACTGCTAAAGCTGCAATTTGGAAAACATTTGTTTTCTTTTAGTGAATGTGCATGTTTTACCTTGGAGTATGTTTTGGCTAGCTCACTTTTCTGGAATAATTTTGAGAAGTACATTTGAATATTTAACTTTGTGAAGTAAAAAAGTATTTTCTGTGTCTATCCCATTTTTTACACTTTCAAAATGAAGCAAATCCCTCCTTAAATGGTATTAGATCTGGGAAAGGTGGCCCTGTGCTAAAACTGCCTGTTAGTGCGTGTTAGTGCTGGGTAACCCCGAGCCCTGCTGCCTTTCGGTTTTCTCCTTGAGCCCATCTACCACTTGGGTTATTCCATATTCCAAGTTTTCCCTCTGGACTCTTTTATGCTCAGTATAACTGAACGGAGATGTAGGCTGTATTTTTGTTGGTATTTTTACATGTTCCCCATGGCGCTTCTGGCCGGGGTGGTGCCATGGGACCCTCCGTGGGCACTGGGCACCAGCGCGGGGTTCTTCCGCTGCTCCCTCCTAGCAGCAGGGCCAGGCCGAGCCCGCGGCCCGCGAGCCCAAAGCGCCCGCGGCCGCCCTGTGTGAGCGAGTCCCGCCGAGGCCGCGGCCCGACGCGGCCGCCATGTCGCATCCGGGAGGGGAAGGAGGGAGGGAAGCACCGCCTGCTGTGCCCGGCGCGGCCGCCGGGGGCCGCCGAGCCGCGGGGCGGAGCCGGGCCGGGCCGCGCGGAGCCGAGCCGAGCCGGGCCGGGCCGGGCCGGGTCGGGAGGGGAAGGGGAAGAAGATGGCGAACGTGCAGCTGGAGTTCCTGGCGAACGCGGGTGAGGCGGACCCGCAGAGCCGCCCGCTGCTGGTGCTGGGCCAGCTGCACAACCTGCACCGCCTGCCCTGGGCCCAGCTGCGGGGCAAGCTGCAGCCGCGGGTCACCGAGGAGGTGAGGACGGCACGGGCCGCGCCAGGAACCCCCTTCTTCCCCCGTCCCGGAGCGCGGCCCTCGCCCCGGCATCGCCTCCCCCGGGAGCCGCGGCTCCCCCCGGGGCCGCCTCTCCCCGGCCCGGCCCCKAGCGGCCTCGTGGTGCGGCGAGGCAGGAGCCCTCGGGCCGCTGCTCGGGGGTCTCAGCGGCCGTGGGGCCACGGGGAGGAGGGGGCCGCGCAGGCCTGCTCGGGGGGCCCGCTGCTCACCCCTCCTCCAAGCGCACGCATGAGCGTTGTGTTTTTATTTTTTTACTCATTTTGAACAGGGTCATACAACGGCCCTGCAACGGGGGAGCCGGTGCCCGCGCCGGCCCGGCGGGCACACAGCCCCGCGGCCTCCCCGCCGCTGCGCAGGGCCGGGCCCGGGGCGAGCGGGACCCTGCGACCCGGCCCGCGGGGCCACCTCGGCCCGGCCCGGGCCCCGTGCCCCGCAGTGCGGCCGCCCCGGCCCGTTGGCGAGCTCGCGCTCGGCCTGAAGCCSTTCGTGGGGCACAGGGCGCTTTTCAGGCTGCTGGGTGTTCCACCGTTTTGTATTGGGCTTCTAAGTGTCCCAAGACAATTCCAGATTTTTTTTTTTTTTTTTTTTTTTTTGTTTCTGATTGACTTCCCAAWGGAGACACTRATTTGAGCCYAATARGCTGGACCGCCTATTTATTACTAGTAAAACCCTTTAAACATAAAAGGGCTCAGAAGCAGCCTAGCACCCAGCGTTGTGTTTAAAAAACGTGATTCCTATGGCCCACGAATCCATTCTTGTGACAGGAAGCAAGTTGTGATTTCTGATTACTAAAGAGCTTCATCGTACTTATCGTTCATCTTGATTCTAGGCCGAGGTGCGCTTAAAAATGGCTGCATCATTTTTTGTCTTTGCTTCCAACCCCAAAACGCTACACTTGTGAGTGAGTTAATACGGTCGGAGCAAGCAGGAAAGAGAAGTCTGCTGAGTTCTTTGTTTCTGAAATCTTCTTTTCTCCCCAGCTATGGCAGTCGGCGCTGAGCACGCTGAATCCCAACCCCACGGACAGCTGCCCACTCTACCTGAATTACGCCACGGTGGCCGCCTTGCCATCCCGGGTCAGCCGRCACAATAGTCCATCTGCAGCTCAGTTCATCACCCGCCTCGTTAGAAACTGTCTTCCAGGAGGCGTCAACAGATGTATTGTTGTAAGTGGCTGCTTAAAAAGGCTCTTGGTGAAATGTCTGGTGAAGGATTTTCTTGATTTTTTTTCTGGATTTTAGCTGTATCCAAGGAGACTGGAGGTGGGGATGTTATGCCAGTATAATTATGTTGTATTTGTAAGTGGTTTTGCACTGAAGCGTTAGCAAAGCCTAAGGCTAATAGCTTGTGCCTGCTCAAGCAGTTGGAGAGAATTAAAGATGGATGCGTGGGGAATGTTTTCCCCCAGGAATGTCCATGCAAAGGAAAACAATAATGGCTTTTTTTTCAGTCTAGGTTTTATGGTATTAGCACATGCTACATATCATGCTTTAGGTGATTACTTAAATATGCAGTCTGTTGCATACCCCATTTAGGGGTGCATTGAAAGCAGTTGGACTCATCTGTGTTTCTTGATGGGTTTTTAAAACCCTAATGCAAACGAATGTTCCACTGTGCACCTTATGCGTGATAAGATCTTGCACAGTTTTGCTCATCTGCTCTGTGAGCCTGGTAAATTTGTAATTGAATCATAAAAATTCAATTTGATGATTTTTTTCCTGTGGCTTCTCCAGGTAATTCATATTTCCAGATATTAGAGAAAACTCATACAGYCTGTGTCAGTAACAAATCTAATTATAGTCTTCACTTGGAAAAGTCATTTGCAAGAGCAATAAATCCACATACATTTTTTCCTTAGAGTTAACTTTGGAAATATTTAACTAAAACTGCTTTTCATTGGTAATT